GTTATTACTGACCAGAAGAAAGCAAACAAAAACGCAAATTCTTTCAAACCTAAACTGGCTTATAGTTTGCACACATTTTCTTGAAACGGTTATTACATTTTTACATCTGCTTTCTTGGTACCCCGAGAGGAAACGGCATGCGTACAATTTAGATGAATGATGTATACTCCCATCAGCAAGCACTGTGCAGTCCTCCTTGGTTTCAACCTAGCCTTGGCAGAAGAGTCAGTGGTCATGATATTGACCAACACAAGGACTTGTGGAGCCTGCACTTCAGCACTGTTGCTCTTTAGAATTGTTGGGCAAGGTAAGCTTCATTTTATGGGCTTGTGTTGATGGGCAAATGCAGCTTGGTTTTGACATCAATCTGAGACTTCTGAGATTATTCAGAATTCAACGACAGATGCATCAGACCAGCAGTAGACCTTCTTCTGGCCTGCATTTCACCCAATTCAAACTGCTTTTTTATTCCCATAAACTTGTATGGGGACAGAAGTACAGACGTAGTTCAGACCTGAGCAAAAGCCTGTCAGCAGAGACCCTTAGACACTGGGGCAGATGTATTAAGTAGCTGCAATATACTGCAAGAAAGGTGTTACACCTACTACTACCAATCATCCAAGTGCATAAAAGTGTTGCAGTCATGTTCAGTAAGGAACTTATTAGTGTAAATGACACACCTCAGACAAACTCAGCCCAGCAAGCCGGGTTGCAAAGACCCATACTCTATGTCTGCAGCTGGTGTCTGCCTGGGAAACAGTCTGCACACACCAGTAGGACACTGTGCACTGATCGCACTGCACTCCAGGGATGGGGAGAGCTTACTAGGAAATGCCAGGGACCCACTAATGTTGCATTTGAAGGTGGCAATTATCTGGTTATTTTTTTAACAGGTTCTATATGAGCCTATAAATGGATAACTGCAGCACACAGGGATGCAGGACAACACATCATAGGCTGCACATTTCCACCCCTAGCAGCTGCGGTGCTCTAAGCGACCTAGCCCTAAATCTGGCCCTGCTAAAGCTTCCCATACACCTTGCAATCATCAGACGACACTTTTCATCCGATGATCGAACCGTCATACGATTCTCGTACGGTGGCCCCATCCTGCCCCGATTATCGCAAGGTTGGATCAGCGGTAATTAGAAGAAAGCACCTGGATGAATTGTGGTAAATCGACCGCACGTATTTTCCTCTGTGCATGTGCAGTGTAGATCGTATGAATTTTGACATAGGAAAACGGCACCAACCTTGCGAAAATCGTACGATCGAACGAAGTTTTCTACCCTGCTGGTTAGTCAAAAGTCGATGGAGTGTACAGTATTTGGGGTTGTACACTGCCCATCAACCTTACGAATATCGGACGAAAACGTGATCACATTAGGAAAATCGGCCGATATTCGTAAGGTGTATGGATCATAAAGCAATAAAAAGCAGTTACATCCTGGCAAAGATAATCATATACTTTTGAATGTTCTCACCTGAATTCCCCACTCACATATTTATCACGGTCTTTAAACATCAAGATAGAGGTTTTGTAAATTTTTATTGCTTTGCTTTGTCCATCTGCAGTACTGGCATGGTAGACATTAGCCTAAAGAGAGATAAACCTTTACAATATTGCCCATGTTCCATAAAATCAACACACACAAACAAAATTATGCTGTCTGGTGATCGTTGCACCCCCAAGGTCACACGCTTGGGAATTTACCTCTTAACTTGCATTTTCCCTCAGTAAACCTTGTTGAATGGTAACTATCAATACATGTATACCCCATTTGTATTTACAAATGGGACACATGTTGTACGATATTAGTAGAATGTGTGTATTTCGTTATGCACTAAAACTTCCCTAAAAAAGTCAGCAAAAACTATTTTTTTTAAAAAAGAACTCTTTTACTAAATAATTGTACATACATACAGCTACAATCAACGCAAAATCATAAGTGTAATATCTATTAACCACTTGCTGACCAGGGTGTTTAGACCCCCTTCGTGGCCAGGCCATTTTTCAGTATTTATCGCTGCGGTACTTTGACATTTATTCCGTCATGCAACTCTGTACTGAAATTAATTTATACCATTTTTTGGGGACAGATAGAGCATTCTTTTGGTGGTATTTAATCACCACTGCGTGTTTTATTTTTTACTATATTAAGGAAAAATTACTGAAGATTTTGAGAAGAGAAAAACGTTTTTTTTACATTATGTTAGGAAACATTTATTATCACCCCAATTTTTTGTTAAAATATAAAAAGGCGGGGTCACGTCGGGTAAATAGACACCAAACATGTCAAGCGTAAAAATTGTGCGCGCCCGCAAGATCGCAGAAAACTACCACAGCTAAAATTGGCCATAGGTGACGCTTTAAAAGCTTTTACCTCTCATCAGTTTAGTGTGATCAGTGATTGAAGGCCCTAAAATTATTGCTCTCACTGCGATGTTCATGGCGATATGTAACATGTGCGGCGTAATGGGTGCAATCATCATTTTCGCATGCATGCATGTATGTATGTATGTATGTATGAATGTATGAATGGGTGGGGACTTTAAAAAAAAAAAATTCAATTCTTTTTTGTGACTTAAATTTTTTATTTTTTTGGAAACTAATTTTTTTTCCACTTAACTTTATTGCTATCAGATAGGGGGCTAATAAAACCTCCTATGCGATAGCAAAAGATGAGACAGGTCCTCTTTATGGAGACATTAGGGGTCTCCAAGACCCCTAATGTCACCTAGGACCCCCCTGAAGAAGCTGATGAAGCAGAGATCTGCTTCATCAGCTTCTCAAGCTGGAGAGTGACACAAGAATGCGGAAGTGATGTAATATACAACACTTTTGCATTCTGACAGCGGAGGGGGGACCGGAGGGAGATAGTGTACCGAACATCCCTCTGATCCCTTGTCAGAGAGCCACCATGCTGGTCCCGGGCTCACACCGTACACAGATCGGCTCAGATCATTTTAACCCCAATAATCTCAGCAAATGTTTCCAAATCTGCACAGAACTCATTTCCAAGCCCATTTTCTGTGACATTCAGATAAATGTTTAAAAATAAATAAACTCCCTACAAGAGACTGAGCCAAGACATTTGTAAACCACATAGCCGTATACTTACTTCTTTACCCGTGCTGATGCAGCCATTGATTTCAGATATTACCCCTCTTGTGAGCATCTTAAAGAGAATCATCCGTGTCCTTGGGTCTAGCACCTTATAAAACAGATCAGATTACTGTGAGCAAAAAATGTTATTGTAACGTATCATCCAAACTCATAAAACGAGCCCCTAAAGCCAAAGTTTAATCCTCTTTTCCCCTCCATCAACATGCTAATGATTGTTTTAATAAAACCCTCACCATATCATTGCATACTTTTTCCTTCTTTTTTTAACCAAGTGATATTATTACTGGGTCTCTGTGCTTTTCTATGCACTGAAGGCAAATATTGGCTGGTGGGGGGGCCTGAAAACATCACAGCACCTTGCCTCAGTATACCTCTCAAGAGCCCTCAGCCCTAGGGGCTGGTTCTAGGGAGGAGTTATGCAAACATCAAAATGCCTGGATAGGTGGAGGTCAGTCTGGGTAGTGGGCGTCCTTCACTCCCCTGCTGCTCCATTTAAGTGCCAGAAGGCCAATAAAATACCTAGTGCTGATGTTTAGTGATTTGTCCTGCATTGTCACATAAGGACTGGGGCAGTTCTCAGCCTTGTCCAAGTTTTGAGTCTTTCTTTACGCCTTGTAGCTAAATTGCGTGAGGGAGCAGGAAGCCAATAGGAAGGTACACTATATTGCCAAAAGTATCGGGACACCCCTCCAAATCATTGAATTCAGGTGTTCCGTGAAATTTCCTTGCTACTAAATATTCCACGGTCAACTGTTAGTGGTATTATAACAAAGTCAAAGCAACTGGGAATAACAGCAACTCAGCCATGAAGTTGTAGGCCACATAAAACGACAGAGCGGGGTCAGCGCATGCTGAAGCGCACAGTGCACAGAAGTCGCTAACTGTCTGCAGAGTCAATAGCTACCGACTGCCAAACTTTGTGTGGCCTTCAGATTGGCACAACAACAGTGCGTAGAGAGCTTCATGGAATGGGTTTCCATGGCCGAGCAGCTGCATCCAAGCCTTACATCACCAAGTGCAATGCAAAGCGTCAGATGCAGTGGTGTAAAGCACGCCGCCACTGGACTCCAGAGAAGTGTAGTTCTCTGGAGTGATGAATCACGATTCTCTGTCTGGCAATCTGATGGACGTGTCTGGGTTTGGCGGTTACCAGGAGAACGGTACTTGCCTGACTGCATTGTGCCAAGTGTAAAGTTTGGTGGAGTGGGAATTATGGTGTGGGGTTGTTTTTCAGGGGTTGGTCTTGGTCCCTTAGTTCCAGTGAAGGGAACTCTTAAGGCATCAGCATACCAAGACATTTTAGACAATTTCATGCTCCCAACTTTGTGGGAACAGTTTGGGGATGGCCCCTTCCTGCTCCAACATGACTGCGCACCAGTGTACAAAGCAAGGTCCATAAAGACATGGGATGAGCAAGTTTGGGGTGGAGGAACTTGACTGGCCTGCACAGAGTCCTGACCTCAACCCGATGGAACACCTATGGAATGAATTAGAGCGGAGACTGCGAGCCAAGCCTTCTCGTCCAACAACAGTACCTGAACTCACAAATGCGCTTCTGGAAGAATGGTCAAACATTCCCATAGACACACTCCTAAATCTTGTGGACAGCCTTTCTAGAAGAGTTGAAGCTGTTATAGTGGCAAAGGGTGAGCCAACTCAATATTGAACCCTACGGACGAAGACTGGGATGCCATTAAAGTTCATGTGCGTGAAATGGCAGGCGTCCCAATACTTTTGCCAATATAGTGTATGTGCTGCTAGAGAAGTAATATTAAAGTGTACAGGCATGGGAAAGCACAGGTTCACTTTAACCTCTTCCACTTTGTCTATATACTTCTTGTACTTCACCAGCCATATTGTATCCTCATATTGCTGCATCCACTGCCAGTGCCAAAAACACAGCTCTGAAAATAACAGTTTGTGTATAACAATATATTTTTATGGTAAAATTAAAAAGAAAATAGAATACCTGTTCAACTGTAGCTCTATCAGATTTGTCTTTAACTCGGTACCTGTTGTTAAGAAAGAAAATATTGTTTATGTAAAGAATGCATCACTTGAATACTTCTACAACTCTATATATCAATGTTTAGCTAGCAAGAAGTTTAACTACTTGAAGCTGACATGCCGTTTGTAAATGTCATGGGCTTTTCAACAAGCTTAAGGCTGCTGCTGCCGCTTGGTGTCATTCTTTTCAGCCAGCTCTTAGTTATCAGGTAAAGGTGGTCAGCGGCTGTATAGCTGCCCTATCACTTTTACATGCCTGTAACGGTGCAGCACTCCTTCTCACTCCTCTGGGGAGCCCAGGACCATGGTATATGGTGTCAGGATTACAAGTGGGAGCAGATCAGGGAACATCTGTTCCCTGATATTCTATGTAATTACTGAAGCAGGAAGTGCTTCAGGAATCAGGCACAGGAAGTGCTGTCAGAAGCCTGACTGCAATGCTGGGTACACAGGCAGGGGAGACATCAGGGGTCTAATACATCTACAGTGGAGGAGAAAGTCACTAAAGGGCTCCTTGTTTGATAGATAGATAGATAGATAGATAGATAGATAGATAGATAGATAGATAGATAGATAGAGATATAGGGGAAAAGCAGCCTTCGTGATACTCCAAGCTATCTAATGGTTCATAATACAGAGCTGCGGTCGGACAATCTAAATTATGTTAAAGGTAAAGAACTCTGCATGTCTCGATGCTGGTCAGGCGGGGAGTGATGGAGATGTTCTTTGCCAAACACCACTTAGATATCACAAACCAGAAGGCATCATGAAGAATGCCCCAACTTCTAACCTGCCCTAGAAGAGGGCAGTGTCCAGGTCTATGCAACAACAGGAAGGAGTCCTGCTCAAACCACATCTATTAGTAATGGCCCCTAAGTCCCAGAGGGCCCTTGTGTAGCTGCAATGACACCACAAATGCTTTGTCTGCCCCTGTACATCTAATAACATCCAAAAGAGTCATATCAGTTCAAAACACATAAAAACTTGGAAACTCTGTTAGACCTCATACACATGGGTGCATGAGGCCGTAGAGCATAAACTGCAGGTATCGGTCTACTGTTACTTGCCTAAACCTCCGTAATTGTTAAACTGTACACCCCTAGGCAAATCTAGTCTATAGCTACCTTCCATAGCCCAGTATCACCGCTCCTTCACAGCAGCACTGGAGAGAATTGTGGGTGCACACCAGCAGAGCCCGTCTTGCCCCACCATCAGCAGTTACTCACAGAAAGAAGTCCGGTTGCACACCCAAAGCTTCCTTGAAAAATGTATTACAGCACACAGGTACACATCTTCCTGTCGCAGATACTCTTCACTCTGACATGTTTCATCCAATAATGGGCTTAGTCATGGACGAGACTGGGGGAGTAGAGCATTAGGCTTATGGGGGGGGGGGGTTATGAAGAAAGGGCCATAAATG